CCAAAACCACTGTCAATATTTAAAAAATGGAATATTCAGGTGACCACGAAGGAAAAAACAACACTCTTCACAAGTCTACCCACGCAGCATGAGAGGGCCGATGAATGGGATTGCTCAGTAGCTTACTGTATAGCATGCGGCGTCTGTGAATAGAAATACATAGGCGAAACTAGGAGGAAAATTGGCATACGAATTGAGAAACATTAAGGGCTCTGCATGAAAATGTATACTGAAAGATCAGATATAGCGGAACACATCGCCGAGACTAATCACGGGATCAATTAAAAGGCAACGGAAAAAAGGGCCTCATACATTGAAAGCACAGAGAAACAGAAGATTAGGGAAGACATTTACATCTTTAGGAAAAAAAATTAATGAACAGGAGAGTGGAAGAAGGCAGAGTCAGTGATAACTTTGCCTATTGCCTAATCAAACTCGAAGCAAACAGGGATGCAACAAGACAAGCAAAAAGGAGACGCCTAGATCAAGGGTCTATCGTAAAACAGAGGAAAATGGCTCGCAAGAAAGAAGACGGTGAGGAGGTTTCGGAAATAAAGCGAAGGCGTTTTCAGTGAGAGTAGTCAGCTCAAATAAACAACTAAAACTTGGTGGCCCGATATTTCACGGAACTAGGGGTAGGGATTGGGTCACATAAATCGAGCATTGTGACCAAATGGACTAATAATCCACTTGAGATGCAGCAGGCGACCAGAGATAGATGTCCACAGTTTGTTCAGGATACATGGGCTTAATCAAGGAGATGATACGTGAAGCTAATGCCTAATATCAGAAAGCATAGGAATCAGAGCCTAGAAGCTCTGAAAATAAGTCGACTTTGTACGTGCTACTGAAAGCCTGAGATATAGTACTTGGAGTAAAAGTAAGCTGGGGCTGGAACCAAGTGAAATCGGTAAATCATAAAGATAATAAACGGACCTAAGGGCCCATGAGGCAGATCCAGACAAAGGCTGGAGCAAGATCAGCCACTCGAGAGGGGAGCAAGGCAAACATCAGATGTGATGACGCCATGGTAAATTCGCCAAAAGGGCACATCTCTTGTAGGAATTATCATGCATACTATGGACTCGGGACAGAGTGTTTTCCTCTGGGCCTTCCTGCTAATATGACCAAGTTGCGAAACAAAGGTCCAAAAACTTTTATATAACGAAAAGAGACCGTGACCATACAAAAGGACACACAATCCTGTTCTTTATACCTTCGACTAGACTAGATAAGTAAATATAGTTTACAAGGACACTATCTTACAAAAATTATAATTTAGCCATAAATCCCTTGATTTTTGTTGGTCTCAAAAATCCAGACAGGTTAGAGATGTGCTACAATTATTAACTGCGTATAGAAAATGCTTGTACCTCAAATTGAAACGAATAAGGGAATTAAAAGCTTGACAGAAATAAGGAGGTAAATTCTGAAGTATGGAGAATAAAATTTATTTATTACATCATATAAA